TGACTGTTTTAAAGACTACTATCCTACTACACTGGACCCAGGTGAACTTTGAATAAGCAGGAAATCACTTGGACACCTCAGAGATACTAGGGTTATTTGCTACTTACTACATCATGGTGTCTGGTCAATACCCACTAATACAGAGATGCATTTATTTTTCTCTTATTTTATATCTTCCAACAACTTTCTCAGGCAAATTCCAGAAGATGATGCCTTTCTGCTTTACAGATTACTTGTACACAATTTAGGGTCTATGACTCAGGCAGCTCTGAAAGGCGGTGAGGAACGTGGGTTGTAGATGCAGATCACTTGCCTTACATTCTCGGCTGGACACTTGCTGGCTCTGAGATTTTGAGCAGCCCGTTTCCAGCACCACAGTTTTCTCATTTGTAAAATGGAGATAATAGTGTCTAACGATTGGGTTGTTATGAAGGAAAAATGATGAGATGAGGGGAAAATAATACATGCGAAACACATAGAAGAGTGTTTGGAATTGAGTAATCTCTTGATAAGGGTTAGATACCATAAGTCTTGCCACCATGAACCCTAATTTACTCCAGACACACATTGTTTTATTTAGCTGGTTCAAGTCCTCTTTGGTGGTTAGAGTTGACAGTTACATTATCAAATAGTGAAAAAACATATGTATAGTCTAATAACAAAAAGATGGAAATACTTTTATTAGAGAGAGTTCTAATGCACTGGTTCTTTAGAGGTTCCACAGAGTGGATCTGTTGCTATTTATAGTTCTAGGAGTCAATGTTAAATAGATGAAATTCACAAAGGAAATTCCAGTGGATGATAGTGACACATTCAGGGTCAGTGGCATCAATACTATAGATAAGAAATTCTTAGGGAAAAGACCCATAAGAATAGTCTTTGAACTTAGAGAAAAAAACACCTGAAAGGTGAATCTGCTGGCATAATACAAAAGAAAATGAGGCTCGCATTATTTAGTGGCTCATTCGTTTTAGACGGTAGCTAAATTGCCTGAAATCCCTTTCATATTTTGCAAAGATCAAGCACATTAAGAATGTCAAAACAACATTAGGTAACCCCTTTCAAGCGTCAAAATAACTGCTCAGAATAAAGGAAATATTTGTGAAGTTCAGGGCTATGAAGAAGACAATTAAATGGTAATGTTGTGGGGGAGACAAAGCAGAGGTCCTGGATTTCCACACTTGTCAACTAGGATAATGCATATTTTATATGTTAGTATTACAAATATGTAAAGCTTCAGAGAGCAGTTAATACATTAGTCCACCTAACTTTGATCAGTATAGAAGTTATAAATCATAAGCAATACTTCCTCCTTATTTTCCCTTGGTCTTCACACAATTCTGTACCTCATGTTGATTGAACAGTATTTTAAAAAGAGGGTTATTTGCAAAGCTTCTTTATGTTTCACTTTAGTTTTTGCACAGTAGACCAGAATGATAAATCCAAGTGCTTTAAATGAAATGACAGCCTACATAACTGCTGCTCCACTAAGATGTAGGTAACTGCAGTTTTATGTTCAGCCCTGCTGTGTGCTCCTAATGGTAGTATCACATCTGTCATTATTTCAGAATCATGCAACTTGAATGATTCTAAAACTCCAAAATGTTTACTCTAAAAACTTACTTATAGTGTCATAGCTACACATCAACCCACAAAATGTCATGCAATCTTGTGATAATGTCTAGTAACCGTCAGATTCCACAAACTTTACCTAATTATGCGAAATGGCTTCTTACAGAATGCTATTGCTCATAAATCATTTCCTCACTTAGAAATCATGAGTATTTTATCAAACTACATTACAATGTAATCTTTTGCTACAACTTTGAGCATACATTATCACAAAATGTGCTGCCAACACATTAGGAGAAAGAATTAAAGAAAGAGAATTAGGAGAAAGAAACGGAATCTTTAGGATAATTACAAAACTTGGCATTACGTTATCACATATATTCCACGGCGGGGGGGTGGGGGGTGGGGATCTGTAAAGGTAGTGATTCATGACTTGATTACAATGTTCCCATTGCAATTACATGCAGAACTACTCAGATTTTTCTTCAAGGAGCACCCAAAAAGAGCTATCATTAGAATCTGCAGATAAAAGACCTTAGATTGTTTCAGAGACTATGTGTAGCTGCTGCTCTTTTCATGCTAAAAGCAACTACAGATCTGTCTAAAGAAAGCCTTATAATCCTGTTCCCCATTCCTTTATTCATTAAATAATTAGGATGCAGTTATAATTCAAACACGAGATTTTTTAGGATAATGAAACCACTTCTGGTAATAGTAGATTCATTTTTTTCCAGAATATTATTAAACTAATGAGGGAGGTATGAATATAAGAATATCAAATTGAAAGAGTCAGAAATTTCTCTTTTTGCATGGCTTTGTATCTTTGAGAAGATATTTTTATATTTACTTAAGGATGACCTAAAAAATATTTTATTTCCTTTTATAACTTCTATAACTATTGGGAGATGGAAGAGAACTTCGATCAATTTTATTCTCTTTTTGCCTTTCATTAGTCAAGATACAATAACCTCCAAAATGGGACAATCTTTGTCTAAACCAAAAACACAAAAACCTTTCCTATTCCAATTTAACTAATGAGTACCATGTCTTTTGAAATATGTTCTATTTTTACATTATGAATGGATGTTATCATAAGCAGTGGATTACCATTTTATATCCTGTAGGCACACCATTTTCAAAGGAGTATGGGCACTTGCTCTGTGGTACACACTTTATGTAAATAAAAGTATTCAAATGAATATTGTTCAAAAAAAAAAAAAAGAAAAGCAGCTGACTTCAAGAATCAGAGAAAAGCATTTCTGTTTGGGATCCTCAGAAAGGAAAGATAAACCGCATTTTATGATGATTTAAGGATGATGTGCAGAGCTCACACTTAAAAATTTACATTTTCAAAGCAATATTGGCTGATTACAAAAACTGCGCTGCCACTTATGACACTGTTATTACTAGTTTGCAGGCAAATATTATGATGCTCTATGTTAAATGCTTTCCATGTTTTACAAGTTTGCGTGTATTCAAAGGCATAACTAAGTTCCAATGAATGTTGCCAAATCATCAGCTGGTCAAGAAAATATATTGGTACAATATATTACATACATTAATGAAAAAATAAAATTACATGAAGTAAATAAACTCAACAGAAAGTCCCAATACTGCTGTAATCTAACATTTAATGTTGATTATAAATAAATAAACTGTAATAAAAAAGCAAGGTTAATAACTGACATTTTTGTGTTGGGATTGAACTTAGCTTTTTAGGCTAGTAGTTAGTTATAAATATGTTGAATAAAAACACGTGTAGTTTTGGAATGTAACAAATCAAACAGAAAAAGATGGTCTTTCATGGGGAAACTGTGTCTACACTTAGAGAAAGAGATATGGAATTGGACCTCTGAGGTTGATTCTAGGCATCCGGCTTAATGTCCTTATTCAACTAGCTTGAATGATTCAACTTATTCAACTTGTTTTACTGCAAGTTATCTGCTCTATGGATGACTTATGGTTGCTAGAAAGCTCTACCTTGAGATCCAGCTTGATACCCAGACATCAATAAGGTCAAGGTCTCAAGTAGGGTGATTGTTAGGTCATAGTAACTGGCTGAAGAAGGAAAATGGGCTGAAGGGAGAAAACTGTGTGTCTTCTACGACTGTTTATAATCTCGAATGTTACAACACTTGGACATGTGAAAGGAAGTAATTATTTAAGTCTAGAAAGATGATGAAACCCTGGATTTGTCCATATCAAGACTAAATGTGTGCATTAAAATTTCAGAACACACTATTATAGTATTCAATAAATCAATTATTTATTTACCTGCTCATATCTCTTAAACATACTGATAATATAGCTAATAAATTTTAGATTATAGCCTTTCTTGATTATTATTCTTTGTTTTGTAACTTCCTGAAGGGTTGAATTATTTTATTTGTATTATCTTCGTGTCCAACACATACAGAATGAAAGCATGCTGAGTAAATGTTTAACATGACATTCCCCGTTTTTCATTCATTTGATTGTTCCTTTGAAAAATAAAGGCTATTTTCTTTCTGAATACTGCTAAAACACATCTTTTAATAGGTAGCTGTTTCAAAACAGTCTTCCAGATTACCATGCTATAGCCTAAAAAAGGCAACAAAGAAATATAACTGAAGACTACTTTCCTGGAGCAGCAGAAATTAAAGTTCAGAGATCAAAAGCCAAATATTCGAAAATGTCACTGCACTCTTTATCAAGTTTCACAATAAACAAATTTCCACCAAAGATGACTCCCTCTACTCCTTCCACTTAATGGACTGATTTTGTTCAGGCACCTGTCCCACCAAGACTCTAGGGGAGATAAAGTCATTTCTTACTCCAGGGCAAAACATTTCATCAGCCCGAATCAATGCAGGTGGAAAGTGAACTTGGCCATGGGTGGGTAAATTTCCTAAGGCAGCAAATGAGACTGAAGAGAAGAACATTTATTTGATGTTAGAAGGAAAGGATCCCTTATCTTTCTTCAGTGGAACAGCAAAGAACCATGGCATCTCTCAACTCTAAGGCGAAAAAGCTTAAGGCTGAGGCTGAACACCAGAAGCAACTATATTGTCCCCTATAATTCTGCTATAAGTGTAGATTCCCTCACGGGGGCATAGAGCTTTCTAATGAAGGGGGCAAAACATCCCACAACTTCAACATATGGATTTAGGATGTGTCCTTGAAGAATGCTGAGTTTGAGGAGGGTCTAAAAGGTTTGGCAATATAAGGGGCTGAGGAGATGGTTCTTGAAGTACTAAAATGGAGGTATGTAATATGAAAATGTATAAAGTACTATTTATGACATAGTTTATTATATTTAATGTAGAAAATTCTGACATACATACACTGTGTTCTTCCATAAACTTTGTCAGATTTGCTACCCATTTTTGATGATATTAACGTGGGATTAAGTGGAACCAGTATTTCATTTTAATTCTGAGGAACATTTTGTTTTGCCATATTTACTATTATTTATTGACATAATGATATTTCAACAAACCAAAATATTTTATTACATATATAGCTGAACATATAATTCATAATTGTATAGTATAGAAAATAAACCTTTTTGGTATTGTCCTCAGCATTTAATAATGCAAAACTAGAGACAGACATCTTTAGAAAAAAATAATAAAATAGTCCTTCAGTATTAAAATTTCTTATTAAAAAGCATTAGATCAAAGTTAAGAATACGACATGTTATTAATGCATAGATGAGTTAGGCATGAATAAAATGAATCAAATCCCATACCTTATGGCAAGTCAAAATATTTGAAATCTGCAAGTCACAGTTTGTCATAGGTCAATTGCAAAAACAATGCATTCATATTTTTTCATTATTCTGTGGTTTTTGATGATGCAACATTTAAAATAATGTGTACCCAGGACATAAGCAATGTACCGCATACTTACCAGGTGATTTTTATGCCACTTTGCTGAATGCAGGATTAATATATTTGGGCTTTTTATTGCTTGAGTAGAAAGTGCTCATTACTTATTATTTTATGTTTATAATATAGAAAAAAATTTTTTAAAGTTTTTTTAAAAAATGGCATACATCACACTGTTGTAGTGGTTGATTTCCTCAAGATGGTCTTCTGTGGTTTTGGTGCAGTGGGAGGAGGCACAGTTGCAGGTCTGAGAGGGGGAAAGCTGTTACTGTGGCTTATTCCCAGTCCCCCATTTTCTAGTGGGAAAGGAGGGAGACGCGGTGGAGGAGGGAGGGGAGGGCCTTGGTGAAGAATCTTTCCTGGTGGGTGGACAGGTTCACTGTGTAAGTGGACCTCCCTGTTTTTTATGTTATACCGGGTGTCACAGTCAGGACAATAGCCATGGTACTGTACTTTTTCATTAAACCGTACTCGTTCCCGAGGCCCTGCCTGAGGACACCTGTTTTTTTCAGGTCTATGAATCAGAGGCTGTACTGGAGGCTTGTCCACGTTACTGTTGGGTATGCAGCAGATATCTCCATTTGGAATTTTGCCAGGGCCACCTGGTAAGCCTCCGTTTCGTAGAAGGGTGCCATTGGTCTTCACGGGATTGACAGCTGGCCCCACCCTTTGGGGGTCTTCACACTTCACAGGCGTCAACCGCGGAGGAGGTGGCGGAGGGTTTGGCTTTCTCAGGACCGTGAGGATAGCAGAGGGGTGTGCTGGAGGTTTAATGAGCGGCGCATTAGCCTGCACTTTGATCTTCTCTATGCTGGAGGCTGTCGTGCCGCTTGAGCTACTGTTCAGCGTGTCTGTTTTGGAGCTGTCGGTCATCTCATCCTCCAGCTGAAGGTCAGAGGTCAGGGTATCGATCTGGTCAACCACCTGGCGGAAAGGACAAGGCAATTGTGTTAAAGAATGACCAATTTAGTAGAAACAATTTCTTTCTGTCTAGCTGTAATCTGCTCTGGAGGCCTTGACGGACATTGACCTGTGCATGCCATTGCTGCATAATATTTTCAGTCTATAAATTTACAGAATAGACCCTATCACAAAAAATGCCAACATAATATGGTTTCATAATTTTTTTGATAACATAATTTAATGTGCTTAGAATATAATTTACTATTATGTATACATTTTAACCCTGACTCTGCTGCACCCACCAAAGTTGGAATTCTGATGCAGTAATAGAACTGATTTTGTTTAAATAAGAGGAGGGGACTTCCCTTCTGCTTACTATGTAGAAAGGTACAGGAGAACATCGCTTCCATGCTGAAAATGAGAAAGAGCCAGATAATCTGTAAAAATCATAACATTTCTTGGACCATCAGAGAACTGAGATCACCACACAACCAAGTGAACTGAACTGTCAAGAGTTTCAAGCCCTCTGAGGATAGACAAGACACATCAACTGTTTGGAAAAAGAGGCATTAACTGCCAAAGTGAAAAACAGCTAAAACTCTAATGACTAATGAAAGGCTGAGGATGTGCTGTCACGACAATTTAGAATCCTTGGGAGCCCCAGACACAATGTAATCTGTACTCGCTTATTGTCTCTTTTCCATGGGCCTCTTCTGTGAAAAAATAAGGGCAGGGAAGACACAGGAAAGAGACCCTCTTGGCACACAGGCACAAAACTCCATCCACTTCTCAGACTCTTGTTTCTTACAAGCAGAAGCCTTATGCACTGGAGGATGGCAAAAAAAAAAAAAAACCCTTGAACCTCTAAGACACAGGCAAAGATCCTTTGCTTCTGGGAGACGTAGAAGCCAAAGCTATCCGACCCGGGGGTGGACAGAGAATTCTCTTGGGTCCAGAACCCTACACAAATCAAAAGCAGATGTCTACTAACACTGGGGAGTGGTAGGAAATTACAACCACTCAAGGCCTGCTTCAGACACAAGGAAGAGGCAGGGAGTTGGCTGGGGCTGGCATAGCCATCAGACCATGATGCAGGTCTGAACCCAAGTGAAGGGGAAGGGTTGTGACAAAGGAAATTTGGATGTATCTTAATCAAGTCAGCTCTAAGGAAAGTTTGGCAAGGCAATTGGGGAATCTGGCATCTCGCATAACAGGCTTGCCTTAGTATTTCTGCCCTGTTCAGTCATTGGTAGGGAAAGGCTTGTGGCTCTGCTCAAATGCTGGATTTCAGCACAGCAGCAGGGCCTTCAGACATTTATGCTCCCTACAGTTGGATATCTTGGAGGCCATTGTCATAGCCACTACAGGCAATATTATGCATATGAAAACAGAAAAGTGATGGGTTACTTTAAAAATAGTGTATGTAAGGAGACAGTCCTTTCATTTCACACATTTCCATTCCATTTATTCCATATGGAGATTTTTCCCTCTTCTTTTACACAGGCCTAAGTCTGTTAAACTATGAAGTTGGCTCTTTGACACATGATAGCAGGACTGAGCTCAAAATAAAAACATCACCAGTATCAGAAGGTGGAGAAAATATAGAAACTTTACATCTTTTTCATGAGGCTCTTACATGACTGATTCTGCCAGGCAGGCTAATGTCACCAGGGCAGTCTTTGGAGATCTCGAAGGTCTACAAATCCATCAGTTTCATCAGATTCAACAAATACAAAAAATTCAACAAATTTCTCCTAGTGTTTTCTATTTTCGCAAATGGCACCATAAACCTCCCACTTCAATAGCCATTAATCTAGACTGTTCTTGACACCACCCTTTTCACTCACCTCTGTCCAGGGCTCCTAGAGAACAAGTCTTTCTATTTTTAGGTCCTAAATATATCTTAAATTTATTCACTTCTCCCCATTTTCATTTCTGCAATCCAAGTCTGAGCCTCCATTGCTTACCATATGAACTACCCAGAGTCACCTTGCTTTCCCTTTCATTTCTGTAGTCTCAGTGACTTTTTCTAAAAAAACAGAAATGTGCTCTTGTCAACTCTTGCTTAAAATCTTTCAATGCCTGTTCACTTCTCCTGTGATAACAATCAATTCTTAACATGTCCTTCAAGGTCCTGCATAGTCTCAATGATGTACTGGTATTTAACACTGGTTCTTGGCAGTTTAAGGGAGTCTTGATTTGAAGAGTTTGCCAGTTTCCATGGTGTAAAATCCCACTGTGGTTGATTGCAAGTTTGTAATGCAACATCACTGACTGTGAGGTTGAGAAGAAATGTGCAGTAACACACCATTCTAAGTGTTTCCACCATACTGATATAACAGAATAAGCAAACTCAGAAGCACCAAAAATATTAAAATATAGTAAAATAATTAATGATGGCCAGGAATAACTAGAAAACTTTTGGCTTTAATTTAAATTTTTGGTTTAATTTGTTAAATTGTAAGTTTATACTGCTATATTTTTAATAATGGTTGTGTTTAACAACCAGCTCACAACATTTTTAGAAATATAATGTTCGGTTCTTGTTAATCACTATAAGTCTGTTCCAGCACATCACTGTCTCTCACTTCTAAATAATTCTCCATCCTCAACTCAAATAAGTTTCCCTTTTATTATTGTCCTCAAATGTCTCTGGTCTTCTCTTAGACCTTCATAATTGGTAGTCGGCTTCATGCCACAGGAAGTTTGTATGTATTAATATTTCTTCTTGAAATTCTCTGACTTCTCTTTGTCTAATTAACTGCTACACATCTTTAAAATCTTAACTCAGGAGTCATTCATGAAGCAATCTGCCTGGGGTTGAATGTCCCCCCAAAACTTAGTCCCTACCGGGACAGTGTAAAGAGGGTGGGAAGCCCTATTATGGTAATTGAAAGGTGGGGCTTTAAACAGGTGATCAGACTGTAGGATGATGCTGTAGTGAATGGACTAAAAATGGTGGTCATGAGACAGGTTTGGAGGGCTTTAAAAGAAGAGCACATGAGAGGGTAGTCTCTCTCTGCTCCACCATTTTCTGCTACGTGAGACCCTTGGGTCACTGTCACAACTACCAAGACCCTCCCCAGCTGTGTTCCCTGGACTTTGGACTTTCCAGCCTCTGAAACTGTATGCAATAAATTTTATTTTTTTTATTTTTTTTATTTATTTTTTTTTTCCTTTTTGTCTTTTTTCGTGACCGGCAACGGATCGTAACCCTCAGTGTGGCGCCTGTACCAGACCGGGACCGGCAACGGGATCGCAACCCTTGGTATTGCGCCCGCACCTCGCTCAGCCAGTGAGCGGCTGGTCTGTATGTGGGATCCGAACCCTCGGCGGGAGCGCCGCCGCGCTCTCAAGCGGCGCACTGTAGCAGTGCGCCACCGGGCCGGCCCATAAATTTTATTTTTTTTATAAATTACCCAGTTCCAGGTATTTTGTTATGAGCAACAGGAACAGACTAATACAGAAAATTGGTACTGATAGTGGGGTCAGAGTTTTAGCTGAAAAAGCCCAGTAGTGCTATGCATTGTAAAGCTGTGGGAGCAGAACCACCATGGAGACCCAGACTTGTAGAGTGTCCAGCATGCAACAACAGCCTGTGAGAGCTAAAGTATGGCTGAAGACATAGGAAAGCCACAGAAGCAGAGCTTCCCAAAGGCTTGGGGACCCAACCCCTGCACCACCGTGCAGAGGATGAACATGGAGGCAAAGTATATGGTTCGCCAGCTTTGAGATTTAATGCCTTCCCCGCAGGGTTTCAGACTTGTTTAGGACCTATTATACCTTTTGTTTTGACTGTTTCTCATTTTTGATATGGGAATATCTACAATATGTTTGTCCCACCATTGTATCTTGGAAATTAGATAATTACTTTTGAATTCACAGATGTGACTTTGATCTTTGGACTTTTCAGTTAAAACGAGACTTTGGAATGAAATGCATGTATTTGTAAGTGAAAAGTACATGCGTTTTGGGGGGCCAGGGGCAGAATGCCTTCAGTGAATGTTCTCTCAAAACTTAGTCCTCATTGTGACAGTGTAAAGAGGGTGGGAAGTATGGTAATTAAAAGGTGGGGCCTTGAAGAGGTGATCAGATTGTAGGACCTTGCTGTCGTGAATGGGATAATAATGGTGGTCGGGGGTGTGGTTCTGAGGACTTTGAAAGAAGAGCACATGAGAGGGTAGTCTCTCTCTGCTCTCCCATATTATGCCATGTGAGATCCCTGGGTCACTATCACCACCACCAAGTCCCTCACCAAATGTTTTCCCTGGACTTGGGACTTTCCAGCCTCTGAAATTGTAAGCAATAAAATTTTTCTTTATAAATTACCCAGTTCCAGGTATTTTGTTATAAGCAACAGGAATGGACTAATACATAAGCCTTCTCCATACTACTGCAATTATAAAACAAGCTAACATGTTAAATCTTACTTTTTCATTTAAAGCACCCACATAATTTTAAATTATGTTTTCAGAAGTAGTGTGAATATTGGTATAAAGTTTCCCCTCTAGATTCTAACCTCAGTGAGAGCAAGACCCTTATTTATTATTTTTTTTCTATTGTATTCTAAAGGCCTAATATAGGGAATGGTACTTATGAGAAGCTCAGCAATATTTAAGTATATGCATTGAGTGTTATTTCTTCAGTTCAAGTGTGAACAAAAGTATTTTCTTTCCTATTTGTTTTTTGAGGTGTTGTTACTTTAAAATTTAGTTGTACAGGAATGGTCTTGGCTCATGGGTACAGTGTACTCTTTTACCTGGAGAGGTTATCTACCCCAAACCTTTTATCATATTCAACATCTGTAGTAAAGGAGAGAAAACTCTTCTATTGTGAGGGAAGTGAAGGTGATTTTCAGAGATGAATAAATACCGCATAGGGTCCGTGATGGTTTGATAGTTCCTGTCTGGTTTCAGTCTCTACATTGTTATTTACCGAGTGCCTATAAAATGCCAAGAGAACAGAAATCAAAAACAAACAAAGCAAAACAAAGCAAAAAAACCAAGGAACAGGTAATCTAG